GTATGCCTCGGGGTCCCTTCCCAGTAGGACATGCCTGAAACACCTCCCTAGGGAGGCATCCAGGAGGCATCCTAGATAGATTCCCAAACCACCTCAGCTGGCTCCTTTTGATGCAGAGTAGCAACAGCTCTACTTTGTATTCCTCCTGAATGTCCGGGCTCCTCATCCTATCTCTAAGGTTGAACCCAGACACTCTGCGGAGGAAACTCATTTGGATGAGATGTAAAACCGAGGTTATGACTCTCTCAGATCATAAAAGATGCCTGGGCATCTTTTGAAAGAGTAGGGGTGATACTCCAATGTCCTAGCTAAAATTTCCCACTGTGACCCTATCAAATCTGTCTTCCTAATCATCCCCTGTATTGAACTGGTAAATTCTCTCCCGCCCCACCTGAGCTACTGTACTATACTGGTGCAGAATGGCTGTTGTTGCATCATCCAGATGGGTTGTACACAATGAGGGTGGTTGAAGTGGCTCCCCATTGGTTCTGTATAGTGCTTTGGGTGTTTGAAAAAGCTCTACCTGATGCAAAGTGGCACTCGTGTCCTAATTTGAGGCAGCTGGTAGTTGCATGGAACATCTGTGTCTCTTCAGTATGATGGCATCTTCCTCTTCTGCTAGTGGAGCTTCATAAAATCTCCATTCAGTGGCAGCACTGTCTGAAGTATGCAGACCGGGGAGTGGCCTGATCTCTGTAGGTGGGGACACCTATGATTGGTCTGGTCTCTCTGATTGCTGCCATATTCAGGGAGTACCTGTTGCTGTGGTGTATCAGCTCTTCCCAATGGTGTCCGAAATCACTCCTTTCAACGAACGTATTATGAGACTCAGATTAAGGCACTCAGGGTGCCTTGTCTGTTGTCTCTGTGCATGCTTTGTGGAAGTAAAATTGGACATTAGTAGGCCCAGGAGGGGAGGCATATTGGGTCTCTTATGTTTTAGGCCTTAGGCAAGAAGAGATTGTTTTGAATACTGTGTGACCTCGCTTTGTGATAGCTGCCTGCAGTTGACTCCACAGACCCTGAAGAAAGCACGGACCTTGGAGAGGCAGACAGCGGAGCAAAGGGGGGGAGAAACCACTTGCAGGAAGAGACTCTAAGCCGCCCCAACTGGTGCACAAAGAGTTATAGCTTTATAAAATAGTTGCAGTAGACAATATATAATATGTTATGCAATTGATCGCATAAGTAATCATGTTAATCATACTAATGTTAATCATACTAATCATATGTTAACCATTTGCAGTAATTCAGGGACAATACGTCAATGTGTTAATCATTAATCAATGGAACACCCAAACATTAACAGTGATTCAATGTCATATAATTAATATCTATATACATATCTCAAGTAGAGTCTAGAAGCCGAGGTCTACAGAACTGCCCAGTTTGTAATTTCTGACCACAGACTTGTGGTTGCTACTCTGAAGATTCAGCTTAGGTCTAGTAGGCTACCACCTATTAGGAGAATGAGGCTGTACCTGGCCAGACACTAAGTTCAGAGTGTTTGCTGAGGGTTGTGTTGGTGTTCCCAGTGTTTCCCGAAGGAGGTGCTTCATTTTGCAGGGCACCCTGGATAATTTTAAGAAGAATCGCAGCACATGACTTGATGGCAACTCCGGTCTATAACAGGAACTGAGGACGCTGGCTGCAAGGGCATTGAGGCCATATAAGGAGCCATTTGTTAAAGGAATATGGGTGCAAGTGACATACCACCTTTTATCTAATGACCTACGTCCTGCTTACAGAGAAATCAAAGCATTATGCATATCCAAATCTGTTCCTCAGAGAGTTGTAGTCATGGCTGGTGATGGAACGGTGCATACGGATGACACTGCAGTTGTGACCTGCTGGGCCGGCTACTATGAGCAGCTGTTAAAGACTAATTTCTGGCTAGGACATTGGACATCTTTGAGTCAATGGTTCTTGGGGGTGATCTTCCAATTAGTTGTGAACCAACCATTCTCACTGAGATTGCACAGGTGGTGAATCAGTGGTTAGGTAGGGAAGGTTGCAGAGATCTGTGGTATCTAAGGTGAACTTCTCCAGGCTAGTAGTAAGGCTATTCTCCTGGCATTGCAAGCAATTTTTGCTTCCATTTGGAAGACAGGCGTCATCCCAACTGACTGAAAAATGGGACTTCTTGTCCATATCTGGAAAGGGAAGGGTGATCTTCTGAACTGTGACAACTACAAAGGGATAGCACGGCTCTTAGTGCTGGGCAAGGTCATTGCTAAGGTCATCCTAAACAAGGTCTGTGATCACTTGCTCAGCTATCAGCAAATAGAGCAGTTTGGTTTTACACATAAGAAATGTACCATCAACTGCATCCTGGGTTCTCATCAAGCGAAAACATGAATATCAGCAGGGTTTGTTTGCGGCCTTTGTCAATTTTTTAAAAGTGTTTAGCTCAGTTGAACAAGCTGCTCTGATCCCCCCACCGGTATTCTGAGTGTTGTGCAGAATGGAGAAAGAACCATTCTGGAAGAACCAAGATTCATCAGGAGTGTGTTCTTGCTCCTACTCTGTTTAATGCTTGCATGGATTGGGTGTTGGGGAGGGTCATGAGGTCCAGTGGCTGTGGGGTATCTGTTGGTGAGGAAAGGTTTACTGATGTTGACTTTGCTGAAGATGCTGTGATCTTTATGGAGTCAATGGAGGCTCCGAGATGGGCTCTCGAGAGACTGAACATGTAGTCTGTGTGTCTAGGTTTGCGAGGGTTCTGGGTCAAAACCAAGATCCAGGCCTTTAATGACCTCTTAGGCATCACTGTCAGTAGCATCTGTGGAGAGAATTTCAGATTCATCGAGAGGTTCACTTACCTTGGCAGCAATTCATGTGTCTGGTGACTAGGGATATAACAATACACTCAACTCACAATTCACGATACAATTTTCTCATGATTTTTTAACAGAATGAGCTGCAAACAAATTTATTCTAAAATATTCCTTTATGTTTCTAAACTGTACAAAATGTGTCCTCTTCTTAACAGTGAAACTGAAATTGAATAAAATTCTGTTTTAAAAAAATCCCAAATCAAAATAAATGGTTCTGTTATACTGAATTTGTGTATGTCACTGATTTGAGATGACATCATCTGTATTTGTGTTCAACTGGAGCAAGACAGAAACAGCCTCTGCAAAATCCCTGTGACATTTGAGGGGCTTTTGCCATAAAATTCAGATTGGAATAAAAAAAAAATATGGCTATTGGGGTGGTTATTGCTACAGATATGAAACTATATACGCAGCAATAGAGAACACAGGATTTAGTTCCTTATGATTGTTATGGTGTAATCTTATTTTTAAGTTTTAATTTATTTTACTTAGCCTATTAGTGTACAAATGGGCATCTCTTAAGTTTTGTTATTCAGAGAGACATGTTGCCTTATGTTTGGTTTACAACTGTTCCTAATTGTGTTTAAAGTTTTAATAGAAAAACAATTTCAAAACAAATTGTTTCTCTGCACCAAACAGTGAACCCAAAATCGAGGTGTGTAATGAACAGTAAATTTTGTGTACCATTATACCCAGACTGCTTCTGCAAACATTTGTGGAAGAATGGGTCGCCTTCAGATTAGCTCAAGAGCAGTGCATAGAGAACTTCATGGAATGGGTTTCCATAGCTGAGCAGCAGCTGCATCCAAGCCTTACATCACCAAGTGCAATGGTAAGCGTCGGATGCAGTGGTGTAAAGCACGCTACCACTGGATTTTAGAGCAGTGGAGGCATGCTCTGACGAATCACGCTTCTCTGTCTGGCAATCCAATGGACGAGTCTGGGTTTGGTGCTTGCCAGGAGAATGGTATTTGACTAACTGCATTGTGCCAAGTGTAAAGTTAGGTGGGGGCGAGGGGATTATTGTATAGGGTTGATTTTCAGGGGTTGGGTTTGGCCCCTTAGTTCCAGTGAAAGGAACTCTTAATGCTGCAGCATTCAAAGCCATTTTGGACAATTTCATGCTCCCAACTTTGTGGGAACAGTTTGGGGATGACCCCTTCCTCCTCCAACATAACTGCATATCAGTGCACAAAGCAAGATCCATAAGGACATGGGTGAGTGAGTCTGGTATGGAGGAAGCCCTGACTTCAACCCAATAGAACACCTTTAGGATGAATTAGATCAGAGACTGTGACCCAGGCCTTCTCATCCAACATCAGTGCCTGACCTCATAAATGCTCTCCTGGTCAAAAATTCCCGCACACCTAAACCTTGTAGACAGCCTTCCCAGAAGAGTTGAATCTGTTACAGCTGCAATGGGTGAGCCAACCCCATATTAAAGCCTATATATTAAGAATGGGATGTCATTAAATTTCATGTGTGTGTAAAGGTAGGTGTCCCAATACTTTTGGCAGTATAGTGTACATTACTGTGTAGAAACAATTTTAGGTTTGTAAATGTTGTGGTTTGGCAGCTGAATATGTAGCATTTTCACAGGGCTGTTGATGTTACAACACATTATTACCAACCTATTGAACATTTACACAGGCAATGGTACATGTTATCCTCACAGGAGGGAATAAAGACCAGGCTGGGCAGTCAGCACTGTGAGAAGCACAATACAGCACTTTATTGTTCTGAAATGTTTAAATGGAAAATACAAACTGAAGTGAAAAGAGCACAAATTAACATACACACAGTAAGTAATTTCAATGATAAAATGTCCACAATACTGCAGCAACGGGTGTGAGCCTTCTAGAACATAACGTGGTCTTTAAAAATTAAAATAAAAATGGTACAGCTACAGGTTTTTTGCAAGGCTGATTTTAATACAGTCTAGGCTACAAATTACATTATCTAAGGAATAATGAAATAAGTAAAACTGCCCTTTCATTTAACACAGAGATGATGCTCTTATAGCAGAATAAAAGTTACTGCAAAAGCAAATTACATTATTTTTTTAATTTGTATGTAGTATATATATATATACTACATATATAGTATATATATGTATATATATGTGTGTGTATATATATATATATATAATTTTTTTTTGCAAAATACAATGTTTTGTTTAAAAAAAAAAAAAAAGAAAAAGAAAAAACAGCAGCCACTAGAGCACTTTTTATCCACAGAAGTGGACAAAAGTAGAAGTTATGACAATCTAACTTGTGCACATAAAGAAGAGCAAATATATCATAGATACACTACAGCGATGTGATGAATCTCTTCAAACAGGTCTAAAAGACTGTACAAATATACACCAGCTATTTTCTCACTATATGAAATGAGTGATTTTCCTACTTAATCCTCTATCCTGGAAACCAAAGACCTTGCAATCAGTCAGTCATCATATTCTTGTGATGAATGAGCGGAAGATATATAAAAAAAGATTTTAAGTAAACTGTTGTATACATAAAGTAAACTGAATGGGAAACTCAGACTTATGTACTATTTAGTGCATCTTTTATTTTCTTCCTACAGCAAGTCTTAACATTGTGGTTTATTTCTTGCTGCTATTGTAGAACATTTGCTGACTTTTTTTGCTGACACATGGATTCCTATTCTACAGGATGGCTTGTTGGTCACATCCTCCTCCTCACTTCCCCTTCTGCGGTTGCTGGCTGTACCAGTTCTGAAGCCTCAGAGAGCCATCAAACTATTGGTCGTTTTACCTAAGTTCCTGCAAGGATATTATACCTGTTGGCTGCTTAGGGACACACCTCCTGATAACAGGGTACACTTTGGCTCATTGCCTCCAGCCACACCATCATTAAGCTCGTCTAGTATAGAAGTTTCTGACTTGCTGTCTAGGATTCCCTGGCTGCTGTGGTTTTTCCATGATGTGCAATGGCTCTTCTCCTTAACATGCTGGTCCTCCTCTTTGTTAATTTCTATTTTCTTCTGTCTAACCATCTGCTCAGCTGACCCATAGCCATTCTCACACGGGGACGCCTTCTCCTCCAAGGTCCTCAAGTTTGATTCTGAATCTAAAGGGTCTCTGTCTACAGCCCCTCTCTTTTTCTCTTGTTCAATGGCAAGCCCACCATCATTCATGGCATGACTGTTTCTGGCTTCCACTACTTTATCTTTCTCTTCTCCAGTGGCCATCCCCTCTTCATCTGAAAGTCTTCTGTCAATAGATGCCATAGCTTCCTCTTTTTTTTGTGACCCATTCTTAGAGTCCAGTGTTATAATTTCTGAGTGCTTTTTAGTCCTTTGCTGTAAGGTGATTTCGATTGTCGGCTTTTGGTCATTTCCATCGACATTAGGCACGGGTGCACTTTTCGATCCATTTGGCTGAGATTGGGTGCGCTTGATGGACTTCCTTGGTGTTCTTCTCAAAAGTGATGTAGCACTTTCATCCAGGCAATGACTGATGGAGTTAGTGGATCGACCAATGGATGTTTTAGATGTATGACACTCTTCCTCCTCTTTGGCTTCAAAAAACCACTCAGGGTCAAAGTTCATCTTGTGCTTGAGTCGGCTGACCTCTCGCATGTTGAAGCCTAACAGAACAGCAGCTTTCCTGGACTCACAATCCTGAGTGCACTTCCTTCGCCGGTTCACAAAGTGGCTGGAGATGTCAGATTTCCACAACCACAGGCTAGCTGCAAGCTTTTCTACTTCACGTCTTAAAGGGTAGGGCTGTCTGTTGAAGTACTCTGTGAGGAAAGCTTTCCTAGCCTCATAGGATTCATCTTCATAGCCTTTTGGGTCAAGCACCAACACCACAGCATCATCAGACTTATCAGTCAAACTTGTTGGGGAGTGGTCTTGGTCAAGTTTTCGCTTCTTCAGGAAACCTGGGTCTAAGCGTTCTATGTCACGCTTGAGTGAAGCTATACCAGATGACTGGGTTACCTTCAGAGATGCATTAGGCTTCTCTTGGCCATTCTGCATCTTTCCCACACCACGGCAGTGTACAAGGTGAAGGGTGATTGTGGAGGCTGTCATGTTGCTGGTATACACACCCAGGCAGTGGATGCACTTATAAGTCAATTTCTTCTCCACAGGGTGTACTGTCTGAATCACCTGATGCCTCTCTCTCAGGTGGTGTGCAAGTGCATCAGAAATTGGCCCCTTGAGGATGGAGAAGCATAATGGGCAGAGGGTCTTGCCTACGTCCTTCTTGTAGGGCACAGCAGCCTGTGGTACACTCTTTATGGGTACATCAAGACTATCGGGAATTTTGGGAGGTGTCTTTTTGCAATGAGTTGCTGTTGTGTTGTTTTGAGCATGGAAAGCCACGGATTCCTCTGGCGCATCACGCATGTTGTAAGTTGTAACTATCAGCTGGATGTTCTTGGGGTTGCCTTGCTGGAGAGTAAGATCAAAGGTGAGGGGGGAATCGGTGCGCGGCCCCACCACCTCATCTGCATGGACCAGCCGCATGTGTGCCACCATCTTTTCTACATCATTGAAAGTCGAACGACAATACGGGCAAGACAAGCCATGAATCAGCATATGATTGAGAAGGGTGTCACTAGGCAAATAGCGGTTGCAATACAAGCACTTGCTGGTGAAGTTGTGGATCTTCATGATGTAGTTGGCAACTGCTGGAATTTTTTCTGCCTTGTGCTCCTTCTCAAAGTGTGCACTGTACACATTCTCTGGGAAGAGCTCATTGCAGATGGTGCAGATCTTCCACTTTTGCGTATAGGATGTGCCAAGGATGGAGGTGCTCCCCTTCTTAGTGGCACCTGAAGCCACACCAGCAGCAGTGGCTTGTACCCGTGAGGACAGAGGTAATGACTTGAGTGTAGAGGAAGAAGAGGTAGAGATCCCCGACTGGAAGCTCTTGCCCTCAACTGAGCCCCCAGACCCAGGCATGCGCATGTTCCCACCAGGGAGCGGCTGTTTGACGGTTTGTGATTGTTGTGGGACAGACACCTGTGCATTGCCTGGCAAAGTGATTCTAACCTGCTGGCCACTGATGGAGAAAGCCTGTGTGGTCCCACTCTTAAACCCATATGGTCCCTGTTTTAGTTGGGTGCCTGACAGCAATCCAGCTTTTGGTAAGACCAGTCGGCTCAATTGCTGAGCAGACAGGGAGCGGGCACTGGTGGTCACCAAGGTTCCCTTTTGAGTGACTCCCAGAATGCCCTTGTCCTGAGGCTTTGGTGAGAGCAGCATGAGGGGTTTGGACCTGGGCACCACCACATTAGTGTGGCCAATCATTGCAGTCACCTGATAGCCAATGCGCTCATGGTCCTCAATGACGTGCTGGACCAATGCCTCGTAGGTGCGTGGCACAAACATGCAACGCTTGCAGTGAATAGTATCATCACGGGCACCGGGGTTTCCCCTGACAGCACCATTGACAGACTTATCACCAGGCTTTGCCACGTATGGCGCGGCCACATGTTGGAAGTGTTCCCGGTAAATGTGCTTGCGCACCACATTATACAGCGGATCACGGTAGGTGCACTTCTTGCAATAGTACACTGCCTGCTCCACACTGTCTGCTGTTTTGAGCTTGTGGCTGCCATCAAACCTCACTGCCTCCTTCAGGCCACCAGGAACTCCACCTGCTCCCTGCCGGGCTATGTTATTTGGCATGTGGAACAGCTTTATGTGTGTTTCAAGGGTCTTCTTGTTGCCATTGTAAGTGCAGTATGGGCAGTTAAGCAGAATGCGGCTTTCAAAGTCCTCACTGTGCACATTGCGGAAGTGACTCTTGTAGGCTGAGAAGAACTTAGAGGAGAAGGGACAACCGGAGCAACAGAATGGTTTTGATCTGTACTCCTATGACATAATGACAGGAGAAATAATATTAATAACTGTAATTTACAGCAAAGTATAAAGACATCCTAACTAAAATAATTTTAAAAATTCATTCACCAAGATATGCTAGGGATCAACACAGATTTTTGATTTTATGTTAATTTAATATAAAAAACAGACCTTTTCCGCATAAGCTGATTGTAGTAAACATACTGTAAATCAAAGTTTAATACATCCCAATACAACCATGAACTGTAATAGTTCAGTGGATTTACCAACTGCAAAACATTTTCAGCAGATGTCATGTTTCGTTCCAGAAATTTCACATTTCTTAATAAATGTCAGCAAAATATATTGCCTTGCTGTAATAGCATGGAATAATCAAGAACACCTATGGAAAATAAGAACAATTTAGAAGAATTAATATAATACATTAAATATATTTAATAATAACAAATTCACATGAATAAAATACTTGAAAATTTAGCAACTTTTCTTCTGTACAGGAAGAAAAGCAAGAAATTCACCTCAAATACAACCCTGTTTCCAAAAAAGTTGTGAAGCTGTGTAAAATGTAAATACAAACATAATGCAATGATTTGCAAAACTTATAAACCCATATATAATTGAAAATAAAACAAAGATAACATAAATACTGAGAAATTCTAATGTTTTATGACAAATATATGCTCAATTTGATGTTTCAAAAAAGTGGGGCCGGGGGCAACAAAACATAAATTTGTAAACAAAAATTTGGTAATACTAAAACAAAACACATGGTTGAATATCACACAAGTAATTAAGTTAATTAGCAACAGGTCAGTAAGATGATTGTGAAAGACTGTTAAGGCAAATAGTGCAAGAATCTAAGAATCATGTTCCTCAGTATAATAGCAGATACTAGCAGCACATAGGCTACAACGGGATCGTGATTTATTTAGCAACTGGGCTGATACCTGGTAGATGGAATTTTACGTAGATAAATGTAAGGTAATCCATGCAGGGTGCAGAAATATAAAGTACAGATATTCTATGGCTTATTGGTTAGGGAAGTGCACTTGTAATTGAAAGATTGCAGATTTGAATCTGGGTTCCTTTAAATCAGAGCTAGGTAAGATTTTAACAACTCTGAACTATTAGTCAAGTTCTCCCCAAACTAGCTTGATGGGCCGAATGGCCTCCTCTCGGTTGTAAATTTCAGATATTCTTATAATATTACTATATATTTGGGAATTTCATTCTCTATAGTACATAACATCATTAAAAGATTCAGAGAATCTGGAGAAACCTCTTTCTGCAAGGGAAAAGTCCTAAACCAATCCAAGATAGCCATGATCGTCAGGTCCTCAGGTGGCACTGCGTTAAAAACAGACAACTCTATAGTGGAAATCACTGCATGGGCTCAGGAACACTTCAAAATACCACTGTCTGTGAACACAAATGACAGATTAAACTTGCAACCATGCAAAGAAGAAACCATATCTAAACACGATCCAGAAACACCGCCAACTTCTCTGGGCCCAGGCTCATTTAAGATGGACTGAGGCAAAACTGTCCTGTGGTCTGATGAATTAAAATTTCAAACTCTTTCTGGAAATTTTGGACACCACATCTCCTGAGCTAAAGAGGAGGGGGACCATCCAGCTTTGAATCAGCGGACAGTTAAAAAAGCAGCATCCGTGATGGTATGGAGGTGCATTAGTCACTGGCACTATTAACGCTGAACGATATATACAGGTTTTGGAGCAACATATGCTGCCATCCAGACAATGGGTGTGTCCGAAATCGCGCACTTGCGCACTTTTAGTGCGCGATTTTAGGGCGTAGTGCATTCACACTGGCAACTAAGTCAAAATTCAGTGCACTGAAAGTACCCGGATGGTGCACTGAAAACGGCCAGAAAACGCAGTGCAGAATGATGGATACTACTCGCACTAAACAGACGCCATTTTGACTACATAACGGAAGGTGAGGGACTTTCGGCAAGTTTTCATTGTTAAATTAAGGCGGACGACACAGACACGTAAGCCCAAGCGGAGGCAACTGCTTCATATAAATCTAAGTAACGTTAATAAAATTATTTTACTGATGTGTACTGCGGTGTGTAGCCTGTCACTCTCTGACGACAGCTATAGATAATTTGAGTTTGCGATTATATCGACACACGTAAATGTTAGCAGTTTTTTAGCCTGTTAGGCGGTAGTAGTTAGGTTATATACACGCAAATAAAACCACAAGGAAATTGATTGAAAACAAAACACGGCAGATATTTTGGAGCGCTGGAGAATCGCGATCAAATGCTAGTCCGTCACTTCCGGTAAGTGCAAAACGTTTAGGACAGCACTTACCCATGGTAGTGTGCACTACAGAAGGAAGTGCGCGGTGCGCACTACGCACTACATCTCAGTGCACTGAGGCAAGTGCGCGATTTCGGACACACCCACCGTCTTTTTCAGAGCAGGCCTTGACAATGCAAAACAATGCCAAATTGCATTCTGCACATATTACAACAGCATGACTCTGTAGTAGAAGACTGGCCTGCTGGCCTGCCTGCAGTCCAAACCTGTCATCCATTTAAAACATTTGGCGCATCATGAAACAAAAAATATGACAAATGAGACCTTGAACTGTTAAGCAGTTGAAATCCTATGCCAAATAAGAATGGAACAACATTTCTCCAACTGGTCTCCTCAGTTCCCAAACGTTTACAGAGTGTTGTTAAAAGAAAAGGTGATGCAACATAGTGGTAGCCATGCCCCTGTCCCAACTTTTTTGAAACATGTTGTTGCCATGATATTCAAATTGAGCACATACAGTATTTGTCATAAAACAAAATTTCTCAGTTTCAACAACTGATATGTTGTATTTGCTTTATTTTCAATTAAATATGGGTTTATATGATTTGCAAATCATTGCATTCTGTTTTTATTTACACTTTACTCAGTGTCCCAACTTTTTTGAAAACGGGGTTGTAGATCATGTTTAAAATCACAAATGCTTTTCAAAAGGGCCAAATGCCTGACTCACTTTGACTGAAAAAAGACAAAACTATTTTTTTCTCCACAAGAACTCAGAACTCTGTGTGTACTGCAGGGTTGTAAAAAGCTGGGGTGGACTTTCCTTTTGTGCTGATAGTGAAATATTTTGCATGGCCCTGCATTAAATTTCTCATGTTGGCATTGTCACCGGTCAGCTTCCCTGCCAAAAAGGTTCTGGTTTTTACATCGCACATTTTTCACATTTCCAGGCAACACCACACTGCAGATGCACATTCTTCCTTCACCACCCAACCTAACATACTGTATGCTTTGTTACATTTGCATCGCTGAGGCTCCTTCCATATTATAGGTTCTTGTTATTCCCACCTTTCCAGAAGCATCTTTTTTACCCTTTACTTCTCAGCATGTAAAGAGTCAAATGTAACCTTGGTTTTTGAGTGTCTTGACCCATATACAGAATGACAATTACCGTACACAGCAAGCCAGTATACATGTGTGAATATACTAATCGTGTTATTGGTGTAGCTCACATTTTAACGTGTTTAATTAGTGGGCATTTACCACATCAGCCTAAATAATGTGCACAAGAGGATTCTAAAAGAAGGATTTAAAATCAATTAATCCAGCCCCCTAGATCTACTGACAGTATCTTCTTACACAGACCCATGTTTGAGAAATTTACCAGTTTCTTATACATAAAACAGTGGTTATATTTTAACTAAAAGTTAAAAGGGTATGCATGAAAATAACTGAAATGGGCAGTCTCAGAGGAGAGTGAGTCTTTGTTCTGTCCAAGTTCAGCTAGGATCAGATGCTCTGGGTATGAGACTCACCTGGGGTTTGGTTGATGACGGATCCCACATGCACACATCTTCCCAACTAGTGTTCTTGACATAGAAGTCATTGGGGACAAATTCTTTAAAATCCTACATGATAGGGAAAATAATGAATAAACCACAGAGTAATAAACCGTTTTTTTCCCAGTGTAAACATTTAAAGCCCATATTGCAAAGTCACTTAACATCAACATTGACTTAGTGTGTCTAATAATTGCAATATCACCATTGAAAAGACACTCTGTGTGAAGATATACAATAGTATGAACAAAGAATCAAAATGAAAAATCTAAAATGAAAAGAATTAAATGGACAACTTATCAATATCCATTTTAAAATTTCTCAAGAAAAACTGATGGACAATTTGAAGCCTTTCAGATAAAAACATGCAACACTACCAAGCTTGCTTACATCAATGTGGTCTTTGCAGTACTCCAAGCCAATGTCACTGAGAACTTTTTTCACATTTCTCCTGGCTTTTCGCAAACTGCCGAGGTTATTTACTGGAAGCTGAAACATTCTTCTTACCTGTAAAGAGAGACAGATGAATCACAACCCAGTCTCTCCTAGTTACAGAAACTTTAAGCCTTACAATCATGGGTTAAACCTGTTTGCATCTAACCTCGTAAAACATGATCAATGCATATCAATTCAAGAGCCACTGAAGCACTTTTTCTAATGCATCACCATTTTACATTACCTTCTCCCTAGGAGCCAGTGGAATTTCACTTTCTTTTTAGCATGTTTCAAGACCGATTTTTAAATTTAGACTTGACAAAACTGTGGCAAAGCAGGGAAATGTGTCAAAGTTGATCAACCTCAATACATGCTTTTAAACACAATTTTTATGATTATGCATTCAGCCATTTTATATAAAAGCGGTACTAAACAACCTGTAGACTTTGGGCTGCTGTCCTAAGGCTGCCCTAACTTTGAGGAAGATTAGCAGCAAGTCACATGCTGATGAAGAGGCTCAGGAGCGCCCTTCAGACATTGGTCAGTCATTAGTGGTGCAAAGAGAAGAGACCATCTACAGCCTACCCAAAGACCATGTGCAACCTGTTGCATAGACACCAATACAGAGAATTTAGTGGTCAACTGCTGAAGAAGTGGTCTGATTGAAACTTGAAAAATGCAGCATGCATTCTTTATAACGCCAGATGGTACAACTTGGCATGAAGAAACTTCCACTGGACCTATACAGTATATCCCATCTTGCTCTCCATGAGACACATTGACTTGTTAAAAGGTTAAGCACCCAGATGGAGTGGTGGAAATTAAATGAATCTGCACTTGGTGAAAGGTCATGTGACTGTATCACAATGATTATAATATCAGATCAAATGGACAACAGAGTTGGCAGTATGGGCACACTGCTGGTCCCATGTCAATATGGTATGACACTCCCCAGGCCTGGATACATGCAGCGATATGGTGCGGAAGGGAGTTATACAGCCGTTTTATCCACTCCTATGGCAAGTTGGCCCACAGCTCTAGAAACTGGCCCTCGAGATCCTGCATATTGGCACTGGGTCTAAGTTGACACACGTGCTGTGTGTGGACGGGTGTTGTACTTGTTGAAAGACTGTACCAGGGTGCTGTCTCAGGAGGGGTAAGACATCTGGACACAGGTTGTCACTGATGTAGCGCTGTGCTGTCAGGGAACCCCGAATCACTACCAGCAATGACTTGAAGTCATACCCTATGGCTCCCCACACCATGATGCCAGGAGTAACACCAGTGTGTCTCTCCACAATATTGGCAGGATTGGTCCTCTCCCCTCAGAGCCACCGTACGCACACACTACAGTCTTTTGTGGTAATGCAGAACCGAGATTCATCACTGAACATGGTATGACGCCACTCATCATGCCTCCCGGCTATGACACCACTCCAAACAGAGCCATCTCTGTGTTGGTGTTAAGGGCAGCCAACACATGGGATGGTGAACCCATAGTCCGGCTGATGCCAGGCGTCGGGATATAGTGCAGGATGACACGGGGTGTTGTAGACAGTCCAATACCTGTGTCCAAATGGCAGGTGCAGATGTCATGGGGTTCTGTAACACTTGCCGCACAATACCATGATAACAAGATTGGTGTGGTATGTCTTGGGCGACCAGAACCTTCACAATGCATGTGGGTGCCCTCACGTGCCCATTGGTTCCAACATTGGGCAGCTGCAACATCCCCATGCCCCACATGCCAGGCAATTGCACGATGCGTCCATCCGGCCTCATGCAAACCCACAATGTGACCCCTTATCAAACTCTGTCAAGTGCTGGTAATGGTGTCTAGTGTGTCTACAAGGCATCCTCTGTGTCTGGTGACTAAACAGGCCTACTCCTTGCAAATCAAATAATTTACATACCCATCGCTGGTCTGCATGAGTACTAAATCCAATCCAACATAAATTGGACCATTACTTCTGGGTACTTAACTTTTTTTGTCACTGAGTGTATGTACAGGCGAGAGCAAGTTTTGGGGGAAAGCACAGAGTCAGTTGGCATACAGTGCCTCTGAAACAAATGGAGTTAAGGGTCTTAGTCAACTGCCCAATGGTGACATTGTTTGGGTGGCCACGGGATTAGACCAGCGACCTTCCATTCATGGGAGCAGAGTCCTATGCCACAGAGCCACACACACTCTTAGCCCCAACTGCTTAAACAGAGATTCAGCCTGCATGCTTAGTCTGAAAAATTTAAATTGTAGCAATGTGGAAGGCCCACGGCACCTAATTTTGTCTACAAGTATTTGAATATGATCCAAGCTGTCCTGTATGGAAACACAATATTTCCAAAAAAATTCTGGATAAGACAGATGGATCCCCATTTGCACCACTTGCCATTGATATCTGCATAGTTTTTTTCAGCACCAGCCCTGTAAGGTAACAGTACAGTGATATTGTGCTGAAAGGCTGGATGACTTGCTTGGATGCTGTCTCCCATCACTGGTAGATGGCGCTAGAGAACACCTCTGCCTCCCTGTTATGTAAGCTTCCCCGTTCTGCCTTTGCAGCCTCTTGCGGCAAACGCAGAATGGCGCCTCCTATTGAGTCAGGAAAGAAACTCACCATCTACGACATGTCTGCAGTGAATTTTTTTGGGTGGGGGTTGGGTCTAGCTTGTCCTGCTTAGGTTGGCTGGTATAGCACGAACATATACATATACTCTATAGCAAGTAAAGTGGAGTTGACCAAATGAAGCTGAGCTGAAAATGTTTCAAGCTTCAGCAAGTACAGAAAGAGATCTGGAATAAACTTTTTAAGCATCCAGAAATACACTACATGTTACTTACTGGTCACAAACGGAGCAAACATATTTTGCAATAATTAACCCTCCCCATTAACAAAAACCCACTGATTATGTAAAACACACTAACCACATTATATCTGCAAAACACAGTCTTTTACCAATAACACTGACATGCACTGCAAGTAAAAATAGATGGTGAAATGGTTATTAAAGGTGGCTCTGATGGTTATAAAAGGCTGAAAACATGGACATAAAGTGCACATCCTTTCTTCCACGGTCGGTATCCGCCAATGTAAACTGTAGGTATATGGAAGGACTCGTGATATTTCATTCTTACGGGGTGTACAACAGACAGTCACGCTCTGAAGGGGTACAGACAAGTTAATAATGCAAAACCTCCGACTAAGCAGAGAAAACGTCACAGTTATGCCTATCGTGCTTTGGTGTCAGTATAAAAACACCAAATCTTTTGCAAATACACCACAGCATCAATCTAGCCAGTTTATAAAGAAAACGAGTCACTTTAATCACGACTATCACAGTAGATCATTGCAATTTACTCGTCAGGGAAAAATACTATAATGAAAAAATAATAAATAACATTATATCGAGGATGTGTAACCAGCACATACGTACCGGCTTTCTCCTATCAATCTATTGACTGTAGACGGACAGCTTGATAATATATACAGCTAATGTGCTCCGATTATACACTTACTAGACATCCAGAAACATTAATATCAATATATACATCCATCGGTGAGTACAAAGGGACGGCAGATGCACTCTGCCTGTACAGGCGATTCCTTAGTAACGAATATCCCAGGCTGTATCATTCCTTCAAATCATTTAAAAGATCAGGAGTTATCCAGCGATCGGCAAGCTGTGTGAAATACTCAAGAGGACAGACATCCGCAGAGGCAGCCAGCGAGACGCATAAACAGGGCAGCCTCTGTGAAGGGTCTGGAAAGGGGACGGTAACGTTAGCTGGTTAGCGGATGGTGGCGGCTTACCTGCCGGATATATTCGGGTATTCCGCTTTGCTATCAAGGCAGAACCCCAGGTCAGGACACGTAAAAAATGAAATAAAAATGGGGAGGGGGAGATGCTAGCTGTCGCTGCCCTCGTTTATCCTCCTTCTCACGCTGGGCAGCCGGCGCTACCCGCGGAGCCCGTCTGTTCTTCGGGCGGACACAGCGCACCAAAAGAGGGAGCCCGCGTCCGCTCTCCACCCGCCCCGGACCTGTCCTTTTCTGTCTGCTCGGCTGCCGAGGATGGAGTGCCGCTGTTACTCATCTAGATGGGTGATCCCTACGATGGACAGCAATTGAGGAAAGGACTGGCACTGGGAGACAGAGTAGCACGTATAGAAGCATTCGTAAGATATTGGTTTTTAATATTATTATTTATTATAAATCATCTCCCCCCACTCCTCATCCAGGGACAATACACCCCCAGTCAGAACCTGCCCTATTCAAAATGGCGTACGTGAAAAAGCGGATATGACATAAGCGTTGGATTTGCATAAACTCATTGTGCCGTGAGAGGAATTCACTCCAAAATTCTTCACCTGTAACTATTGGTAACATCGACTTTGTGTTAGTATAGATGATGCTGTTGGATAAGGATGGTTTCAATATGCATAATAGTAATGGGATAACAAGACTGAAAAAACTACACTACACTAACCGATAGGGGGCGTCATGGCGAATTTAGAAAGCAGAGAAAAATTAAACGAACATATGTCTAAGCCGAGGTCCTTCCGCGACGGTGGCGAGGCATTATAATTCCAAGCTTTACCGCTATTTTCCTGTCGGTTGTAGATCTTATAGCATCGCACCACTGTGTGTTGGTTTTAATTAAACTGAGCCATGTGGTTACGATTTTGTAGGGCTAGTATTTTTTGTCTAATCTGAACTATGCATAATGTATAGCTACTGTATTCTTCAAACCTAGAACAGGCCTTCATTGTGCTGGTTTGGCATTATGCCATATCAGGTCATTCATTACCTGACAGTCATTTAGGTCTCAAAGTGAAAATTTGGTTGTCTTATTATCAAATATACTATTCACAACAAATTAGATCATTACAATGTATTACATGTTGTTATTTCAAAACAAAGTACAGATAGTAATGCGAAGATTGAGTGAAAAGGGTACTGTCTTTGTAATACAGTAGAACCTTCGAAGTCGAACGCCTCTTAACTCGACCAACTCGGACGTCGAACTGGCCTGTTGAAGTTTTTTCGACTTGCACCATAACCGAAATAGTGTAACTCGACCGTTCCTACTAAAACTTGTATCGGTCGAGGCGCGTTCAGACCAGTTCAGACCTCGAACGGGTGGATCGGTTGAGAAAAATGTAGCCGCAACTCAACCGAAAACCAGAACACAACAAAACAGACCTGCTAAAACCTGTACGGATCGAGAAGCGTCTGAAACAAAGGCAGATGGACCTACTGGGATGCTGATGCCTACCGCACTCAGTCTACAGAGTTCTCTACGTACGCTGTGTGTTCGGTGTGAATTTCTTGTGCTTTATCTACAGTACATTTAGTGATACAATAATCGTCATCATCATGAAAGTGAGTCGTGAAAGCAGCAAACCAAAGGCGAAAGTGGTGAAAGCAACTGTGGAGCTTAAAAACGAGATTGTAGGGAGATTTGACGGTGGTTGTCGTGTGTCTGCTTTCGCTTTGGTGTATGAGATTGTCGTATATTTCATGTTTATTGCTTTTGCGTGTGTGCTTTTTCATGTGTGCATTACTTTTATATTGATTGGTAATCCTTTTAATCATTAGTTATGTAGGTAGATAATTTCAAATAGACAATGATTTGGGGGTCTGGAACCTATCAAATTCATTTACATTATTTCTTATGGGGAAATTCGACTTTGACCTCGACCACATCGAAACTCGAACAGCCTTCTCCAACGAATTAAGTTCGTGTTACAAGATAACACTGTACTTGGTTACTAAAAATGCCTCCATTTGATTTACTTAGTCATCTGTGAATTCATGGTAAGAATGTGTTTCTACGAAACGTCTCTTTTTATTTACAGTGTCCCACAATGCAATAGAAGGTCTGGTTCCCATTTTCCAAACTCTGTGCACAGGTGAGAAGACTCTGATAACATATTTAGGACTTCTTGCAATCCTTGGCACGTTAAAATTGATTGAAAATGTACTATTTTAGTTTATGTGAACATAACTTATATTAGAAGACATTTCTGTAATGTTACAGCATGAGACCATACAGGTACAGTAAGTACAGAAAGTAGTCATAATCACACTGGCAGGCCTAATATCTGGAATTAAAAATGTGAAACATTGCATGGAGGGATAATATACTAATATACCACTAAAATCTCAAATATCCTAACAAAGTACAGGTGCAGTAATCTGCAGTGACAAAGACAGTACAGTGACATGTGAGAGCTAAAATAAGCATGCATGCAGTTATTAACCGATATTCCAACTGTGTATCCAGTACAGCGTCATAGTCAGCCTGGAATCTATCCCAGGAAGCACAATGCACAGGACATTCTTGATAGGAGGCCAGTTAGGACACACATGCAAAAGGAGATCATGTATGCATACAGAGCAGGGGAGTATTCAAACTGCCGATGCTGGGGGTGTGAGGCAGCCGTGTGACCCAGTGTTCCTCCCCATATGTAAACAAGTGTTCTAGGGAAATCTACTAGTCAGCTGGGCATGGCTTTGGAACGTCAGTTCATTCTGTTCCATGAGGAAGGATTCTTATGTTTTTTTTTTTTTTTAGTTGTACTAGCTGAAGCTGTAATTGCTGTCATCCATCCATTTTCTGTAACCACTTGTCCTATTCAGGGTCGTGGGGGGTTGGGAGCCTATCCCAGAGACTATGGGTGCAAGGCAGAGAACAACACAGGATGAGGTGCCCATCGCAGGGCACACACACACCATTCACTCCATCCACATGCCCACCTACAGCCAATTTGGGAACTCCAGTTAACCTCAGTATGTTTTTGGACTATTGGGGAAACCGGAGTACCCAGAGGAAACCCCACAATGACACGGAGAGAACATGCAAACTTCACATATACAGAACCATGGTCCCAGAGGTGTTTTTCTCCTCTACATTCAAAGTTGGATAACATTGTCCGAGTAAGACCAACACTCAGACTGGCATCAAGATTTTGGAGTTGATACAGTGTCCCCCCAACAGCAGATCAGTTGAATATGAATATCTTTAGTCACTGCACATGGAGTGGTGAAATGTCATTTAGTTGCTCTCCAGCCAGCAGTACAGCATATACAACATGCATGCACAGGGACAATAAATATAGAAACACACAATATACTGAATACGAGACAAGATATATACAGTACTGTGCGAAGGTCTTAGACAGTCAAAGAAAAATTTCAGAGCTATGTATTTGGGTAGTAAATGTCCATTTGGTCAGGAAAAAACACTCAATTTAACATTAGGACATATGCAAAAAAAATATTGACATCATAAAAACCAACAGCAATTTCTGCTATTCTTCAATAAGTTATTGATGTCTTGTTGGATGGCTACTTGGGTTCCCAAACCTCTCCTCAGGAGCACTTCAGCCATTCCATGTAGTTTTTTAAAATTTCACCAGTATATGAACACAATTCGAAGAACTAACAAGGCTCTAACTCTGTACACACATGACTTGCCCCCATCTTTCAGAATTGTTAAAACCATAAGGGATGGGCAGCAAGTTATTATTGACCCAACTGCTATTTTACCTTACAACTTCCTGTCTTTTTGGTTCCTCTCATGTCTCCCAACTTGGTCCTCGGGAGGGAGCAAAAATGTGGGCTGTCCAGGGGTTCCCAAGGACCAGGTTGAGAAACATAATTATACGTCTCCTTTTATGTGGAATTTTAATAACTTATACTGCAGTTGTCTTTCTTCTATCCGTTATGTTCTTGAATAACCATGTCGGGAAGAGGGTTGGAATAGTGACTCAGCAGGTCAAACTCAGGGTTGAGATTTCTTTTCTGCTTCCAAACCAAGTCTGCAGAGTGTGTATGTTCTCCCTGTGTCATATAGCTTTCCTCCAGCAGCTTGAAACACACACAGCCTGGTTGATTGGCATCTCTAAATTGCCCTTATGATGGACTGGCATCCCATCCTGTCCCTGTGACCCTGATCAAGATATAGTTGAATGAAAGATGCATGTATGAGGGGAGGAATGCTTTATAAAATACATAGCATTTAATGTGAGCAATAACAAAACTATGTGAGGAATGAGAAAAGAAAAACCTGGGGCAAGTACAAATCATATTTTCATAACACCTGCATTGTAGTAAATTAAACTTGAATAAATGGAGTTGTGGAGATAAGAGTACCAGAATGTTACTTGCAATTTCCATACCCAAGTGTGTACTTAAATGAAAAAAAATAAGTTGCAAGTAAACATAAAAAAATTAAAATAAAGTCTAGAACAGCACATGCATTCAGGCAAAATAAAATACACTGGTACCTCAGTTCTCAAACTCATTAAATCTTGAATTTCTTAAAAGTCGAAGCAACCAGTTTGAAAAAAAATTACCTAGAGCTCGATCTGAATCCCAGAAGTCAAACCGTGAACGCCGACCTAAGATAACTTGTACGCGCTGGGAAATGAGTCACGTGGCACGTCTCTAAGCGGAAACAAAGGGTAAAGCTTCAGTCTCAGCCTCGCATTAGCTGTGATAGCATCGTGCGTGTTTACACTAGCTGAATACATGTATTTAGACAGTAAAAATAAATTTAGACAATGATAGACTGTAACAGTAATTATTATTATATAATAAAATACATTTAAAATAAAGATTTCTTATTCATTATTTTAATATTAATAATAAACCATTAATACGTTTAATTAATAATATTGTTGTCCTGAGCTGGGACGGAACGGAGACAAAGGCGCAGACGTCAGGGTATCGGGGAATACGGGGTTTAATCACAGATAAGACAGGCAAAACGGAGATGGACAATACAATGACCGGACTGGGGAAACAAACTGAAACGCAGACGAAATACAGAGGGCTAATGAAAACAACCAGAAATGGCTGATCACATGGGGATTCCATACGGTGTTAACGAGGGGGCGTGGCACACGGAAGGCGCAGGACACGTTTTTTTTTTTGTTTTTTTTTTAAACTTTACACAAATATTTTGGATACATTTATTTTCTTACTTTACAAATTACTGATTTTGATAAATGTGCTTAGATGTGTTTAGTACAGTATATGCTCTTCATGTATTATCTGGTTCATTTTGTGTTTAAATGCTAAAAACACATATTTAGGTGTAATTTTTGGGGGCTGGGAACCAATTAATCGGTTTTCCATTATTTTTTATGGGGAAAATTCGATCACAACTCGAACTTTTTAGGATTCAATCCGGAGTTCTGAACGGATTAAATTAGAGTTCCGAGGTGCCACTGTATATGGCTGTCCAGAGGTGAAAAAATAAAATCCTGATTGTAATGCAAATATCAATTTTCACACATTCATCCATCAAATTCAAGTGTTATTAAAATACTTCACTCAACATTCCTTTCAGTTGCCATTGGACTTTCCATATTTTGGATTTTCCATAGCAGCAGAGAGGCTTCAAGGGGATCTGGATTTAATTAGCGAATTGGCTGATACTTGGCAGATGAAATTTAACACAGATTAAATTCTTCTCAGGAGCAGAAATATAAAGTACAGATATTTTATGGGTTCCACTGAAATAAAGGTAGCTGAATACGAGAAAGATCTCGGTATGTATGTTGATGCTTCCATGTCCCACTCTTGCCAGTGTGGGGAAGCAATAAAAAAAGCCAACAGAATGTTGGGTTATATCTCTAGGTGTGTGGAGTTTAAGTCAAGGGAGGTGATGTTACACTTATATAATTCCTTGGTAAGACCCCACCTAGAATACTGTGTGCAGGTTTGGTCACCATACCTCAAGAAGGACATTGCTGCCTTGGAAAAGGTGCAACGAAGAGCTACGAGAATGATTCCTGGTCTTAGAGGAATGTCTTATGAGGAGAGGTTAGCGGAACTGAATCTGTTTAGCCTTGAGCAAAGGAGACTAAGGGGGGATATGATTCAGGTCTATAAGATTCTAACGGGTCTGGATGCTGTTCAGCAAAATGACTATATTAGTCTAAATACTAGAACTCGTGGCCATAAGTGGAAATTAGCGGAAGAACATTTTAAAACAAATTTGAGGAAGCACTTCTTTACACAGCGTGTAGTTAGAGTATGGAATAGTCTTCCTGCTAGTGTAGCGGAAGCTAAAACCATGGGTTCCTTTAAATCAGAGCTAGATAAGATTTTAACAACTCTGAGCTATTAGTTAAGTTCTCCCCAAACGAGCTTGATGGGCCGAATGGCTTCCTCTCGTTTGTAAATTTCTTATGTTCTTATTTGCTTTAGGAAATAAATTCTGACACATCTCCTGGAATCTGACTCAAAACAACAAAGATCATTTCCTGTCATTGCTCCTCACTGGACTGAATGCACAGACCAGCAACCCGATTGTACGTCAGTGGGAAAAAAAAATATGAACAGACATAACCCATTTACCAGTGATTTGCCATTTTGAATGGTTTTCGATGAAAATGTATTTATTTCCTAGTGCTTTACATTAATCAATGATGGCTGCTACATTTGAAGAGGGTAATGGTATCTTTCACTGAAGTTCTTGATACAGTACAGTAACAAACAATGAAGGCTTCCCCTCCAAGACCTGCCCTCATAACTACAAAGCAGTAGCAAACTGAGCAAAGGGGTTTTTTAAAAACCTGGATCCAAAACTGTGTGACACAATGTGACATCATGTTAAGCCTAGGAAACAATCTGGACTTTTAGTCTCTGGATGTAAATTACAATACGAGCACTGATCTTCCATGTAACAAAAATGTGGAAGAACTGCAACATTTAAAATGGGTTTTGTTCATACTGGTCAACAAAGATGTGTCTTTTAGGGAAATAATGGAATTCTATTAACTTATATCTTCAAACTTCAAGCAGTCTCTCTGAAGATAATACGATTATGACCATATACTAGTGATGGTATTATGGAATTTGTGATCTTTAATGGTAAAATAGTCCACAATACATGTAACTTTGTTCATGGGTTCATGACACAGTAATGTCACAAAAGTAAAAAGTCACAAAGTAAAAAGTACAAAATAGGGTTTAAAGTCTAAGTGCAAGTCTTTAGGTACAACTATCTGAACAGTACTGTGAGAGCTTCCTGCACAGACAGAAGCTGGGATTTCTGAATCTTTCCCACACAGGCAGCATTTAACTACAGTCTCCCTCCTGTGTTATCACTGTACTGGAGCAAGAGAAGTTTGGAATGAAAACTCAATTGAACCAAATTAAGTCACCAGTGGCAATCCAGGTAAGTCTGGGTAATCAGACAAAACATCAAGTGGTAGCAAAAAGAGTTAACAACCCTTTCAGAAAGGAGACTATTTCATTTCCACCCAGTTTGGACTCTCCATAAACACGGTCCACAAATGTGATTGGAACCTGTTGCAAGGAATAAAAAAGTATGGTTAAATTTTAAGAAAAAGACTGCAGCATGCATTCCATGCTGGAAAATGCCTGATTAATTGTAAAATATTATAATTACAGAACTCTGGATACTATATTACGGAAATCAGCTAAACTACCAGATGCAATGAGTCTTACTTCTCCAATGCTGTACCCTAGTTGTCGGGCCCTGACAATCATCTCCATCTGAAAAACGTAGCCCTTGGAAACACACTTCTTCACAAGCTGCCCAAGAACCTCTTTTTTATACAACCTGTAAAACAAAAACGTAGTCTCACCACCTCACACCGCACAGCTGGGAAAGGTCATGGCCACTGCTTGACTTCCATCACTGTACACAATAACGAGGCGACAGAGCCATCACACCCTACCTGAAACTGCCAGTCAGGTCCGACGCTCCCGGCCTCAGCAGGACTTGAGTGAGAAAGTTGGCTCCTCGGCTATAGGGCAAGAGCCACTTTCACAACTCAGCACACTCAGGACAGAAGGCACACAGATTTCAGAACTGCAATTTTTCAACAGTTAAAAACCTCCTGAAAGAAAGCAGAGCAGTTGTATTCTTTTGGTTACCTAATGAGTTTTCTGCGCAGGTCCCAGCCATACACTCCTCCATCGCCACTGTATCGAGTGCCGGACACCAGGTCAAACCCTCCTTCCCTTTGCTTCCTGTAGCATGCACACAAAAGCAAGGTCTGACTGTCATGACTTGACTGCAATTACTTGACATAACTGCAGATGCTCTTCTTTTGATTGAGGGCGGATACAGTGAAATGTATTAGCAAGCACAGGAAAAAAAAAAAACACGCTAATAAAATCTTTAACAAGTACTGGGCATGGCAGATATGGATGACACTTACTGAATAAATTCAGGAATGAACTTGGGCTGAAAAAAGAAAATTGTTCTAGTTAACATTTCATTGAAGCTGCTCAAACAGGAGTAGTGACATTGCCAAGAACAGGGAGAAATGATAGGGACAACGTCAAAAACAATGGTTCACTGAAGGCATCAGACAGCTTACATGGTGAGAGAGGTCAGCATCCATGATGATTACAAAGTTTCCAGTGGCATGTTTGATACCATGGATGTAAGCAGTTCCTATAGACAGAATGACTCACAGTTAAAGTATGGCCAACTACATCAGGACAAATACAATTTATTCTCAAATAAAATATTAATTTTACCTATCATCTACTTAAATATTATTTAATAACCAAGTTTACGGTTACTGTAATTGCTAAATAAAATGCTACTTTCAGGGTGACGATGTGTATATAATGGCATTACTGGAAGATTCTTTAGGATTTCTTGGTTTTCCCTGTTTGGATTATTGAATGCATATATAGAAACATTTCATATACATTTTAAACTAAGGAATTAAACCAAACGCAAAACTCATTCGACATTACGCCAATAATTAATGCGGTGTTCTTACCCAACCCCAGTTTCTTTTCCCTCGGACGAAGAATCTACAAATATACACACAGACAATCAAAATTACATAATCTAAGAGCAACATCTCAAGAGAACAGGGAAAACGTCCATTTCACATTTGAAAATAGATCGGGAGTTTTTAGTGTAATTATAATGAAACACAGCTTACTTACGATCTTATCTGCACCATAAATGTTCTGCAGCTGCTCTGCCACTTCCAGCGTCCCATCTGGGCTCCTGTCATCGATAACGATGATCTCGTAGTCATAGCCACTGCAAGGCAACCGCTATGATCAACAACATATAAAAGGCCACTGAATGAAAATCTGATAATCACCTCAGTTTACTTTAGTTTTCTACGAATACGATTTACGTGCAACTGTTTTTGAATACACTGGAAAAGATTAATTATATTCCGTGACATATGAAGCCTGTAATGGCCCGAGAGTTAACAGGCACATACGAACAAGAATTATAATTAGTCTGAAATGGATACTAGTAGCCAAGGTTTATGTGTGCCTAAGATTAAACAATTAAAGTTTAAAGATATGTATTTGAGAAAATAAGTTAAGAAGTCCCTAAATGACGATTGCAAATACAATAAAGTTAATTAACACACTAAAAATATGAAGAGGCTGAGCGTTTTAACTGTGATGGGAATTCACACTCCAGATTTTTCCAATGACAGCTCATCACAAACTCCAGTACCCAAAACACAAGCAGAGGAACAGACTCCTCGAAACTGACCTTTCTCCAAAGTACTTCACCAACAGCCACACTATCAAGGGCAAATTTTCTCTCTCATTATACGTCGGTAACAACACGGAATATTTATCACTGCTTACTCGGCTTTTGCTGGTTTTCCTATTTGCCATGTTGTACTGCATAACCGGATGTGAATCTTCCTCGACGAATATGTTTTTAAGTCAAGCGAAACTGTAAAACGGCTTTGCTGCCATCTGCAGCACGGGAGGATGACCTTCAAACAACGTTCGCTCTTATAAGTATGTAGATCTAGTGGTGCAAATGTTAAAAGCTTATATCGCGTGTGCTGTAGAGCTTTTGACAATTGCATAGAAATATATTTTTTAAAGAAATGGCCTAGTACACTAGTAAACTTACGTAATATGAAAAACGGTGTAGCTCGTATAATTTAAACATCTTTTGCTCATGAATACAGCTTAACCTTCATCCTGTACAGAATCCATGATATCAAGGCAAGCAATATATGGGACAATATTGTTCCCCTTTTTAGTAGTCCTGTCAAGAAGCTTTCTTTAAAAAAACAAAAAGGTTTGCATACAGGGAATAACATAGTTGCCATGTGTTTCCCTCTTCTCTTATTTTCTGTCTGTTATTAGGACAATTCTGGAGAAGATGGGCCTGCAGGGGAGGGCCACACCCTTGCAGGCCAAAAAGAACTGGGACAATTTGGAAAAAAAAAATTTTAATGTCACAAGTTAATAAACATACATTTCCTAAAATTTTCTTTTTATCAACTGCCATTTTTGATTTCCTCTGCTGTTAGGATTGCAAGTATCCAGGGTCAGGAGAGGGATTCAGTGGGAAGGTTACTGCTGACTTGGCCCTGGGATGTCCTCATGGATGAGGTGTTGGGACAGAAGCCTTCCACTAGGCCTCCTGTTCTAATTGCTACCATCCCTGAGGACACTCTAGGGCCAAGTGCAGCACTGCAAACCCGATATAATGTAGGACAAGGTCACGAATTGAAATGACCTTCGGCCACCTGAAGGAGAGATTTCAGTGCCTGAAAAGGCTGAGGGTTGCACCTGACAGAGCATGTGACAATTGTTGCATGCTCCATCCTACACAGCATAGCCACCATCAGAAGAGGGAGGGTCCCTGAGGTGGGGGTGTAGCCTGATGATGACCTTGAGCCAGTGCACCTTGACCAGCCCAGTGGCAGAGCGGCCAGAGACCGAATTGTGGCCCGATATTTTCAAGAATGACAGCGCAGTCGTTTCACACAAATGTTAACTTTATCATCAAGACACTTTACTGCCTTTCAGCCTGTAAAGAGTACATAACCGAGTATTAATAAGTTGTACACGCATAATATATGAATGAAAGAGAGAGAGATTTGTTACCATTTGTTTTTTTAAGTATTTCTATCTGCAACTTAATTTTGGTCCTCCTCAGTTCATTAAATTCCATTTCCTGCTGGATTACTTTAGGGTTAACTACTTTTATTTCTAGACATAGGTGAAAAGTTGTAAGAATTTGCTGGCTGCTACAAAATATTGCACTGTGGTGCTTTTTGGTATTTCTGTGGGGTTTGTACAATTTATGATCAACAAATTTCCATAACTTTTCCATGAGTACGCCAGGACTCCATGCTATATTTCGAAGTTCATTTTTTGTTAAACCAATTCAGAAAAAGTTGTTATGTGATTATCATTTCACCATTGCAAACAGTAATGTGAAAACATTAGCGCAACCCATTAAATATTTAGTTCTTTATAAAGAAATATCAACATATTAGTATTAGAGCTTCTTTCAAATTGTATCTGTAGATAAAGGTGATGTAATTTCATCACCTATACAAAAACAAATAAATTCACTTATTTAACAAAGTAAATTAACTAAAATGTCAATTCCTACTGAGGAAAAAGTTAGGATACCCTGTGACCTAATAGCTAGTATTTCCCCCTTTGGCTGACAAATGCATCAAAATTAAAAAGATATTAGCAGCTTATTTATATTATATGAGTTTAATCTTCCAGCTGCTCTGTTTTCAGAGATTAGAGTTAGCTAGCTAGCAAGCATCAACAAACATTTTATGGGTGGGGAGGGACAGACATGTAGGTTGGCACAATGTCACATTAAACATAAGAAATTGTATTGTATTGCTGAATCTAAAACATGACCGTTTTCATAGGCTCCTTCATGGATAATCTTGATTTTTACTGTTGTACTCTTTTACATGTGTTTGGGGAAGATGCCACTGGAAGATTGAAGGAAATTTCACTATCCTATTCAGCTGTCTGTCAACGCATTCAAGATGTCTGATCTCGAGGATAAGCTTGTTAAGTTGAAGGACTGCAAGTTGCCAGCACAGCTTGATGAATCTACTGACATCACAAACCGATCTTTAAATTTTAGGGTATTTGGGAGTATAATATAAATGTAAGGTTGGTATTTTAATCAGTTTACCCGCAGGTTCTTAAATGTATTTAAAAAGCATTTAATTGTATATTCTCAAAATAAGGTCTTGAAACTGATGAATTTCATTTTCGAGTACTAGGTTTAATTTAAAAAGGTCTTATTATGTTGGCTTGAATAAGTCAACATATAGTTCTTTTATTATGTTGGCCTGAAAAAGCCGACATGTTGTCTTTTCTCCACCCCCAATTTTCTAAACGCTTCTCCTACAGTTTTAGGAATACAGCCATCAAACTTTCCACACTTCTTCATCCCTTAGCTGTAAATTTGGGATGTGCTTTTATATGATCTTGCACCCTCCATCATTTTTGGAGGTCCTGCCAAACACCCCATTTTTCCCATTGACTTATAGAGGGAGGATTTTTAAATAGCTGCCCCTTTCACATGTTTGAAGCTAAACCCACAAAACTTGAGTCATACAGTCATGGGGTAAATACTGTCAACTAGGTTATCATTTTCTGGTCAGTTATGTCTTCCATCCTAGAAACACTTGAATTGCTGCCATGTCACATTTTAGATGGTTGTCTGTGCCAAAAGATTTGATAAAATAGGTGGAGCCCCCCACAGCCAATCAGATTTCACTCAATAAAATTTAAATTTATATAGCTGGCCTTTTCAAGCCAACATAAAGTTTGTTCACAAACTTCTCTTTCATTATTATTATTCTCTACCCCTCATTTTCAAAACACTTCTCCTCCTACAGTTTTAGGAGTACAGCCATCAAACATTCCACACTTCTTCGTCCCATAGCCATGAATTGAGGATGTGCTTTTATAAGCTCTTGCATCCTCCATCATTTTGGCAGGTCCTGGCGACACCCCCTTTTCCCCATTGACTTATATAGGGAAGATTTTTAAACTGCTGCCCTCTCACAGCTTTTAAGCTAAACCCACCAAAATAGAATGGGTCATGGGTCATACAAAATCAACTGGGGAAATTTGGTGGATGACCACAATTGAGGGTCCTCTCATGCACTCAATCAAATTTCATCCAATCAGAAAACAGGTACATTGCAGAGCATTACATCCGCGTGGCTCTGAGGAGAACGAACACCCAGAAAGCTGCAGGTCCAGACGGCATCTTTGGGCGCCTGCTGCGTTGCTGCACTGACCAACTGTCAGGTGTGTTTACTTCCATTTTTAGCAAATCCCTGGTGAAGTCTGTGGTCCTCACGTGCTTCAAAAGATCCATCATCATCCCTGTGCCCAAGAACAACAAACCTTCATGCCTGAATGATTACCGGCCTGTCGCACTGACATCGTAGGTCATGAAGGTGTTCAAGAGGCTGCTGAAGAACATCATCTCCACCTCCATCCCCAGCACCGCAGATCCACTCCAGTTCATCTACCACCCCAACAGATCAACAGAGGATGCTATCTCCCATGTTCTGCACTCCAGTCTGCTGTTCATTGAGTACAGCTCAGCATTCAACACGATAGTTCCCAAAGTTGAGGGATCTAGGCCTCAACAACTGTTGGTGTATGTGGGTGTTGGACTTTCTCACTGGCAGGTCTCAGGTGGTGAGGGTGAGCAGGTGTGTCTCCAGCAGTATCACTACCAACACAGGAGCTCCACAAGGTTGTGTTCATTTTTCACTGTTGTACTCCCTCTATGCTTTGGACTGTGTGGCCACCCATAGCTCCAACACCATCGTAAAGTTTGCTGACGACACGGTGGTGTTGGGCTTCATCTCCGACAACGATGAGAAGGCCTACATGGAGGTGGAAACCTGGCACTATGGTGTCAGAAAAACTGCCTCCAGCTGAACTCCAGGTCTAATCTCCCTTCCCTGCAGGACATTTACACCAGGAGATGTAGGACCAGAGCAATTAGGACTATAAAAGACTTGTCTCACCCCAGTAACGGACTGTTTCAGCTTCTACAATCAGGCAGAAAGTTCCGCACCATAACGACCAAAACAGAAAGTAAGGAGGAGTTTTTTTTCCTCTGGCCATTCAATTCATTCATTGCACAGCAACCTGATTCTTTTTTGCAACCAATTTTTTATTATATATATATGTTTTGTTTATTATTACTGTATGTACACTCACCATAAGAAAATTTTCTTATGATACTGGAAAGTTTTGGAAAAGTCATGGAAATTTATTCTGCCAGAATTGGGGGAAACCTGATACGCCTATCTCCTGGAGAGTGTTGTTCACTTAGTTGGCTGTTACAAAGGGGTTTCTCTTCACCATGGAAATGATTCTGCGATCATCCGCCACTGTTGTCGTCCGTGGACGTCCAGGGGGGTATTCCAGAAAGCTTGGTTAACTTACCATTTG